CTAGCGGGCCGGTTGCGGTTCGGCGGTTTGAGGGCCCGTGGCTCGGCGGGCCGTACCGGGCCGGGCCCGGACCCGGCACCTGGCCACGTCTACATGGTGTTTCCAGAATGGGATTGGGAATGATGTACGAGGGTCGACGAGTAACACACGATCACGTGATCCGATTTTATGAACCGGTCTGCAGACCGGTTTTTATCTTTCTTTTTTTTTAAAAAAAACTGTGGATTGTCTACTTTTTTTTTCCTTTTTAAACGACACACAGTTAGAGCATCCACAAAGTTATGGGTTCAATTCCAAAAAATTGTATGCCACATAAGAAATAGACATAGTCTAAAAAAATATATTCTCCAATGCAAACAAAAGTGGATTGGGTCCTGCTGATGTGACAGCCAGAAAAAAAGACCCGGTCTACCTTTAAGTCCATTTTAGACCCAAGTAGAGACCTAGTCTCCTTGCATTGGAGTAAATTTTGTTAATTTTATAAATTTTTGTCAATGTCATCGAAGACTTAGGTTCATTTACATTCCACATATACAAGACTAGACCTAAAACATTGAAGATGCTCTTATAACTGAAAAAAACTCAAAAAAAGTACAAAAAAGGTGTAAACCGAAAACCTGAACTTACCCTTTGAAATTTCATATGAATTCAAGGAGTACAACTCCATCAATGAGGCAACTGACTCTACAAAACATAAACTTCATAAAGAAGAGTTAAAACTTCATAGAGGAGATTAAAATGAGACAAAGTTGAACTACCAAACCTAAAAACAAAGAAAGAGAAAAAAACAAATAAACACACACACACACACCTAATGAATAAGTAATAATTAATAATTTAAAAACAAAAAATCTGAAGGTGCAAAAATAAATTTAAAAGGGGCCAAATAAAATTTTTAATATTAATAGTATAAAATAATCAAAATTTGAGAGGAAGCAATTGCCCCCCTACTCATGAATGTAAATTCGCTCATGGTCTAGATTCATATCACTATTAGAGACGAATGCAATTATAGAGACAA